CCGCTTGGCTTAGAAACTTAGTGATGTTTCAGTTAGGCCAGCTTAATAAAAAGAGCTTGAGAACTGGTACAAAATCAGAACAGTTTCTCGGTTTCTAGGAGCTCACAGAGGACTAAAGGAGTCAGATGTGGAAGAATGCCGACAGATGTGATGTTGGCCGTTAGTCGTTTTTGATAGGATACTGACACGTAGTCGGCAACTTGGTATGGTCAAGGTACATCCCATTATTCGTCCGGGTCTACTGCAGTGTCGCATGACCTAGTGGTCAAATGTGGGTCTTGTGTATTCACCGGTAGATTTGCTTATTCAGATAAGTGCATATCTGGTCTTTTCAAGGATTCTACAGCTTTTAACAAAAATTCAGGCAAAAGCTTTTCCGATTTCTTTGCCAACGTACCAACACTTCAGTGGCTGTATATACTGACTGAACCAGGAGTTTTAAGAGCCTTAGACTGCATCCACTATAAGTTGGTGAGCGAGGTAACAGTTTGAGCGGTCGTGTCACAGTATTAGTCAAGGAAATTATTCCACGAATGAACCGCTGCTGTTCCAAATCGTGGCTTCTTTTTCCTTTAATTATCATGCGAAGGAAGCTCTGTCTCGCCACTGGTAATCCTGCTAGCTGTTTAATACCAAGATATTTATTCGCGTTTGTCGCATGCTCCACGGGACGTCAGAATAAATGCGTATCTACAGGATCCGTGTTGTAGGGCACTTGCATCAGTAAGACGTTTCTTTACATCTGTGGAGGATTCTAGTGTTGTGCAAAGAAGTATGGGTTCACCGTGGTGTGCAGAGTTCGGGGGATAAGCAATGAGTTCTAGGTTTGTGGGTTTGGCATTTACATCCTTCTAAATGCACTGTATGCTCCACTGGTCTTGGTTGTCAGGCTACTTACCCCGCAGCGTGATGAAGGTAGATCCAGGAATATTTGAGCACAAAACCTTTGGGCCGTTATTGTTAAACCCTTTGCTATCAAGCTCCAAGATCCGTTGACTGTTTGTCCTAGTTTCATGTCAAGTGATGATGGTCTACTGTTTACTTCTCTGTTCGAGTAAGCGTTGTTTGCAACGGAAGGGGCGCTAAGTGTGGCATCCCGTGTGATATTGGCAGCAAGCTCTGCATAGGTGACTGAATTCCTGGGGGACTTGAACTCAATCAGAGACCCTTGGGTTGCAAATGCAGAAGACCGGTGTACGGTTGCCTCATCCTTGTCAACGATAGAAGTTGTTGTTGAGACCGAAGAGATTTACTTGATTACACGTTTTGGGCGATGGCCGATTTTCGTGGTCCTGAGAATCGCTTGCCTATAGGAGCCGTTGTCTGTTTCGCCTGGCGTTCTTCAAAGTTGGATAGATAACAGCATTAAAACGTTGCCGATCTTGGTTCTTGTGAAGCAAATAGAGCAACATTCCTTTGCTTAGAGACCATTTCGCAACCCTGTTGCATACTCGCTTCCAGTAATATGATCTTAGCTTTCATTTCATGTGCAGCTTCTGCTGCTAACGGGTGGCACTTGTGGCCCAGGATATGTATACACTTAACTAATGGGATAGTCAAACATGCAGTAGAATCAGAAGACTTCTTAGGGGCTTTTTCGTTGGGAAAGGGTCGCACAGTTTGGACGGCGCTAATTGGAACATCTTGAGCACGCCAACCCTAATTTGATGAATCGAGTGCATTCTCTCGACCGACAGGCACGTTTTGCCTGGGCCTCTTTTGGATTCATATATACTTGCTTTATGCTAATCAGCATAGTGTTGTGACCTGACACAGTATACTGGTAAATTCTGTGTACTTTTCCGGCTTTATTTGAGGCCACGAGGCAGATAAGCGATGTAGTTATAAAGGTAAAGTGATGGCAGACTAGCGGACAATGATGCTCCGCTGGTCTGTATAATGGATTACGGCGACTCACTGGTTGACAGGGTCAAAAATAGTATAGATTGGCTTTGGGTCATCAAGCGATGTCAACTGAATGTTGGATGAGCAGAGATGTACTGGGAAATGCGAATTAGCTACTGCAAATAGTACTGGAGAAGAATGATTTTTGGCTAATTTAATCGTCTCAAGTACTTGAAACCGGAGTGGTGTTTCATCAAAAAATCCGTCCCAAACACAGACATGTATCAGATTTTGAAAGGATAAGAATAATGCGGATGGCAAGTATGTATTTTGTAGATATGATAAATCCGAGTAGGATGAAGGTATGTTCAATGAGGTGCAGCAAATTCGCGAGGAATGGTTAACAGACAGGTAACAGCGTCCATTCAGAGTGACCGGATGAGGGAACTTGAGAAGCACATGGAATTCGGCTGTAGCCAACCGCTATTTCTACGCTGGTTCCAAGATCAACGAATCTTACGCAGAGGAAGGTGTGCGCTTCCAAACGACGAATTTACATCGCAGACTCACGAATTTATAGGTACAATAAGCCCCATTAGAGTATGACAAAGTTTATCGCTTTTTTCTACAGTGGCCCACAATTTGATCAAATAACACTGACGGGCCAAAATTATTTATGCACAAGCGGCTACTCATTGATATTTCTTCAAAAATACCGTATATTCTAACATTTACCAGGGTTCATGTTGTTCAGAATTGTAAGCCCCTCGATTATTGCTCACTTGTGGTTAAGTACGACCAAACGAGTTGAACACTGTTGCAAAATGTTACTTTGGTATGATGCACCAAGTTGCCTGCTAAATCCTTTAAGTATGCGTAAAATAGCATGTCTTGTCCCGTTCCTTTTCTTTAGATCCAGATAACAGGTTTCTGAATGCATCCTCCATCATCAGAAACCTAGTGGTTCAGTTTTGACGACACGATCAATTTTTAATTTTCCTTCCTTGACTACATTTTTGACCTTAGTATTCAAGTGAACTAATGCATTTTTGGGTTAATGCGGCCGATGTGGATAGTGTAATAACCGAATTGTGTGTTCGACCTAATCACAAAACTCCTTAAGGGCTACTACTGTCCATAAGGTGGATGTCATACTCGACGGCGAGCCATTCGGGAGCCGGACTTGTGTGTAAAATGGTAACGACTTAGCGCGCCCATTTGAATCCTTCCATACCAACAAGTGGTATATCCTTGTATTTCCTCATCAGCTTTCCTTGTTTCAGGTCGACGGTGAAGTCACTGACTTGGGGAACGTCTGCACCCACTATGATTTGTTTTGCATCCGATGAAGAGATGGTTGAATTTCCGACCTCTGCTATCAGTCACATTCACTGCCAAAACTTCTATGCGTATATCGTAACCACCGACCGCCATCATCACCACGGTCCAAGAATAGGTTTTCACTCCATGGCCTTGACTGATTAAAGCAACCACAGTTCGTGTACCGCACCCTGTGGGATATTACCCAAGAGTGTCCCAACTTCCCACAAAAGAAGCATCGTCCCTTTGAATGTGTCTTCTGAAGGAAAATACCAATTGTCACTATATCTCGCGTAAACTGCTACAGGTCCTCCTCCACCCTATCTAGTCGCTCACTGTCTTTTGGTCTTCCATTCCCAATGTCACGACTGGCATGTGTACGAACGTTCTTGACGTGAGCAAGTTGCGACACGCCCGTTCTCTGGGTGGCGTTCACGTTCCGGGGTCGATCCAACATAATCGAAAGTAGACCATTAAGGAAGTGCTCCACCAACATTTGCTGCATTATCATGTCGTCCAATTCAGTCAGCGCCTGAATTCCATTGAAATTCACACTTAACTGTGGGGACGGCTATGTTGGGTGCACTGATCAAAATCAGGGTGTCCGAACAAGTGAGTACATTTCAAAATAGCTTCGCAAACGGATGGAAAACGTGACGGTTGCACCAGAGGAATCGATAAACAAACTTGTCTCCGCAACCACAAAGTATTTGATGAGCACCGGCTATCAGAAGCTCGGCTTCGATTCGAACATTTTAATGCAACTAAAAGAGCACTTTAATTTTAACATATTGAAGAACCGGTTTGTGCTAGTTGCAATGAAGAGTGAGTGCATGAGAAGGAACATGATAATATCTGCGTTATATGTTGTTTCTAGTTGATGGGTAGATTAACTCATATCTTTCGCTCCTAGTCAGATCAATGACTCACCGATGACTCATGAAAACAGGAACACATTGTTAGATTGGATAAGTAGGGTATATCTTTGGTCTTGTTTAATGCTACAAGGCTTTAATCCTCGCTGTTGCTCAGACTGATGGCCCCTGAAAAACGTGCGCACATCGGTAGGTTGGATAAACTAGCCTTATCCTTGGTCCTTTTTTAGTGCATTCAACCACCGTGCCCAGACGGATGAAATACATGAGTGCTTGCAGGTTGAACATTGATGCCCTTATGCTAAATCATTCAACTTATGTACATAATTCCATTCCCCTTCTGTTATCAAATCTCACCACGTGTGTGAAGCACGCTGTTCGTTCCCATTGAAGTGTTATCCGCTGGCGTGTCATCTCTGCCGTCAAAATTATTGTCATATACCAATGACATAAGTAATTTATTCAAACATTTCAATGTATTGAGTTTTACTGTTATTTTTCTCTCTTTTCGATAATATACCTGAAAGAAGGTGAACGTTTCTCGACTGTCTTCTATTTCGAAGCGTTGTTGGAACGAATTCCACATTGGAAGAACTAATGGTCTTTTACAACAATGGTTATAATTTCAGTTCGAAAATTTTGGTGCGTTATAATCCGACCAGTTTTGCTATATCTTGTCTCATCTGGTTAATATTATAGCTAGTACGCTGGCCAAGAAATTCGCTTTGCCAAATTGAAATGCATGGTTAAAACTTAAATCAATTGCAAAGAAAAAACTGGAGGGACACGATGGTTAGCATTAGTGAGTGGATGGTCATTTGTGCATAAAACAGTAGAGGAAATACACAACCTATTCAATCTGAGAGTAACTGAATCAGAACGGTTAGGAAGCTATGTTGGGCCGGCATTTAAGGCTAAAGATGTAAAAAGGCAATGAGCGATCCAGTCATTAATTAATACCTCTGTTAGCCTAACTTCTCCCCATCGGTAACAAAATGGTCGTTCACATGATTCTCGATTTGTCGGCTCCTCCCCAATAGTCCCGTATTGGCTCGCCTTTCGACAAAAGTCCAGATTCATATTCCAAGGTGGCCCGGCCCCTGAGCCCACGTCCTGCAGAAAATGGTGCAGTGTTGGATGCAATTTTACCTCGTTGAACTGACAGTAAACCTGTCTTGTCCGCATCCCGATGGGCTGAAGCTGCGGCCTTCCGTGAGCGTCACGTTGGTCCACGGTTCTACAAAGCACTTTCATTTCGTCTGTCATGAGCTCGCAATGGGACCAAGATGACGTGCTCCATTGAATACGCTCTTGACATGCCAGCAGTGACATACATGATTCTGACTGATCAAAAACTGTCAACTTTCCGATTTGACTTTGAAGACGGGCGTCTGATATATGCTCTTTTAGGATGCCTTGGGCAATTTGGTTTGATATGGCTCCTTCCGGAGCCGATGCTTGTTCATCCGAGTCTGTTAGCGAGAAGCATTCGGCTAAAGACCATTCGACGCCATTGTGCTCACGACAACGAATCTCACGACGTCGCTCACCGATTCCACAAGTGACCGAGCACTGCGGGAAAAACACAAAGCAGGTAACATGATTCCACTCGCCTTGGCATTGAGCATAACACGTTGAATTTCACTCACTGAAATCTTGAAGTAAAATGAAATTTATGTAGGGCAGGAAAGAATATTCCACCAGAGAAATTTATGCAATCGCTTAATGCATTTTATGGGGCTGAGAAGAAACCCCGCAAAGGTTGTTCATGAAATACTGCAAAAGGTGAAAATTCATTGCGGCTTAAAGGGAGCCGAAAAGAAACGAGTGACGGCAACTGAGATCCAAACGAGCTCAACATACTCGGATCTGTCCTAGGTCCCAACGGTAAAAAGCGCTCACTCGGCTCAAGTTTAGGTATTGGAATCCAAAATCTCATTGACAGAAGTAGTAATATCAAAAAGCCTCTATTCAAGATTTGCCATTCTGTTACGATTCGAATAATTCTATGGTAGATTACAAATAATAAATTAGCTAGTATTTTGACATATTATTTCAGATCAAGGAGTACTTAGCGATACAAAACATGAAGATAGAATAGGAAGATTATGGCCGATCCCAAACTGCTCTACTCATCACTCTACTATAGAGGCTCCAGTGAAATCCCCACACATTCGCTCTGATAACCGTGATGCTGCATAACTAATGCCGTTGTTAGCAACACAGACAAAAAAGCTATACCCAGAATGTTGCTTCACGTTACGATAAACAGGACAAGACCCATGATTCCATGATGACTCAAGATACCATTGTCCCATGTCGGGCAATTCCATAAAATGTTGAAGTTTCAGTTATATATTAGACAGCAGGTTTTCACAAACGTGTTAAATTGCTATGGTTAAAACAGTTAGTACGAATATTTTACTTGCTTGGATAAACTCGATAGCTTAACGGATGAAAAGATGCTTTGCAGTATTCTACAGCAACGTGCACAACAATGGTGCTACTAGCTCATGCTTGGTCGATATAGATTTCGGTTTAGTAGTATAATGTTGTGCATATGTACTTAAGCCTCACTGGTTCAGATGCATCGAGCATTCCATAAAAACCAGGATAGCACCATCGCCAACATTCAGCGAGAACATAATACGCACACTCGCAGATCGTGCTAACGCTTCATGTCATTTCTTTTAAGGAAAATGATCTAGCTCATACCCTACTGACACTGATGGATGCATGGCTTGCAACTATGATTTCTCGCGTATCTCTCTTGGCTTTCGGTTAGCTAGTGGTTCACAATTTTGATAAGTACATAGCAGGCTTGACCACCATGGGTCGAGGTTGTGGTCGTTGATCATGTCTAGCACGTGAAATCAGCGCGGGCGAATGGACGCCGATTTACCGCGCGGTAGGATGATCAATGAGTATTGTCAGAGCACGTACGGAATGCACAACTTGTTTGCCACGATCTCAAGGGAGATATTTCCGGCAAGATGACCGATAGATTAACAGCAGTTGCTCAGGCACTGGTTATGCCGCCCAGGGCAGTCGTTCGTTTTTCGAACCATTGACAGTAGTTAATTGCGTAGACTACGACATTTGCGAACAACCCTTTAATAGGGCGTTTCAGGAAACAACAACAGTAACCGAAAAATTTCAGAGTTCGGTTGTAAGTGTTGGCATTTGTTACTTGTTTTAATGCTCGTGCACAAAATTTGCAAACACACGTCGCTCGAAAACTATCAATAACCCCAATGAAAATTCGGTCTATCGGCTAGGTCCTTTCTTTGTGGAGACAATGGCCAAGTCCGTGAGCGCTTTCGGGTTACTAGCTGACCGAACTCTAAAATTTTTCGGTTGTTGTTGTTGTTTTCTGAAACGCCCTATTAAACGGCTGTTCGCAAATGTCGTAGTCTACGCAAGTAACTACTGTCAATGGTTCGAAAAACGAACGACTGCCCTGGGCGGCATAACCAGTGCCTGAGCAACTGCTGTTAATCTATCGGTCATCTTGCCGGAAATATCTCCCTTGAGATCGTGGCAAACATAAGTTGTGCATTCCGTATGTGCTCTGACAGTACTCATTGATCATCCTACCGCGCGGTAAATCGGCGTCCATTCGCCCGCGCTGATTTCACGTGCTAGACATGATCAACGACCACAACCTCGACCCATGGTGGTCAAGCCTGCTATGTACTTAACAAAATTGTGAACCACTAGCTAACCGAAAGCCAAGAGAGATACGCGAGAAATCATAGTTGCAAGCCATGCATCCGTATTTAGGTGTGAATCCATTTCGCAAGCTCTCTCGTGGTTGTACTACAATCCGGCAGCGAAACCGGTTATGCGGCGCGACCATGCGCACTATTTGCCCTTGGCGCCATAGTGTTCCCCCGAATGCAAAACTGGGTATTTCTAGCAGCGTGTAAAGTACACTCTGACCCTACATCACGATAACGTAATCATAACACTTGTCCACTTACCGGTGGCTTACTGTCCGCGCAATGATCTGCATATCAATTACTTTTGGTGCATCAATCCCTTTTGTATTTGTTGATGCCTTTCGATAAGTCTCAGTATTTCCGCAATTCACTTTGCAGTCATCCTAGTTCTCGGAATCTAGAAACCGTTTCTGCATTGTCTAAGGTTTTCAGTGAACGAGTAAGGCGTGATGAACATCAGTACGAAGTAGACAATACGCTACAAATAACGCTCGCACATATCTCATTAGACGTCAGTCCCATGTCATTGTCTAACATTGGACATCAGATTTCGCTGCAACTCCTATACAAATGTATAACTGTACGTAGGTGCATACATATTTCGCCAAGATTTTGAATTTCCTCGTATGCCTACTCGCTCCTAGTGGTATACGCTATACAACCATCTGTCTAAAATGATGAGCCGGAAATGTAATCAAAGCACCATTTTTTTAAACAATCAGGAAAATATACACGAATGTGTCGAATGGCATTACGACATCCCACGACACCGATCTCACTGGTCGCTGTTCGAGTAATGCATTCTAGAAACGGTAACCTCCATTTTAGTTGCGTCATGAGGTTCTGGGGATCCTCGGCCAGAAGTTCATCGTAATGCAAATGCATTTCATTCTTCACTCGGGCCATCACTACTTGCCAAATATTTTCAATGGGATTGAAGAACGGAGAGAATGGGCTCAATCTCAGAATGGTAACCCCCTGGTATACTTCGACTGATGTAAATGTTTCCAAAGGTGTGTGACATGATGCATTGTCACACACTACGACCAACTGCCGGAGCTCCACTTTCCGCTTCTGCTTGTTTAAAATGCCTCGCAACCATTCAAGAGATAGGGGGCCAGTGAATAAGCCTCTCCTTGTAGTCAACGAGACGTTTCTAACAATTATGAGTTCACCGATGCAATACAAATTCAGGGCTCTACCGTTGGCTGCTTTGACACAGGCCCTCACCTCTCTGGGCGCCCGACCATGAGCATGTTTGCAGTAAAGGTTGAAATTTGTTTCGTCGATCCATATGAAGAACTTCCTCTCACTTTCAAGTTCGAGAAACTTTTGCACAAACTTCATTTGCATCGCTTTATTTCGATGATTGTTCATTCCTTCTGGAGGCGGCGGCAAGATTGTATGCCCTGGGACACCAGCATCGTAGGAATTCGGGACTCAGGGGACCAAGCCTTTGTTATGCACTTTGGAACCTTGCACGAAGTTGAGGACAAGAACGAGCACGTTATAAAAACGAAACGCTAGATCACGATGTTTGCCTCTCCTCCGCCGCGGCTCAGTACTCTTCATCACGAAGTTGTATGCATAGGGTCCTACGCTCTAGCATTAACTAGGAAGGAGGGAACGCGGGCAGCTAACGATTCCCAAAAGACGAAATGGTCGTTTAGTGCACCTCTGGATGCATGCGGTGGCTGTCTGATTTAGCGTGGAGTTGAAGAAAATTTGACCCGAATCCCAGCTTCATTATTCTAACTACTATAAGCGGCAAGCGAACACACCAGCTCTCCATGGAGGATAGCTTCCAACACCCAAACGTCATTTCCTTAAGGTAGAGCTAATTTAGGATAAAAAAGAATACCTCGCATTTTAGTGAATTGTTTTCGCAGGTCAGAATATTTGGATACCACAGCGTGTGAGTTTGTTGAGAGGTTTAAACTTAAGCCGAAGTCATTAACAGTTGAACGACATCGGAGTTGGCTCACTAATGCCATGACTGATCCGACTTCATTATTAACATTGCAGCTACGCTTACAGCAACAAATTCCGCATCACGCTATCTTATGAAACTGGGGACATGCTAATGCTCACACATGAACCAGATCTGCGCCGGTAGTTGTAGAGGCGTAACCACTGATAAAATCAAGGGTGAACCTCTTCTACATATCTGTGAGCTAAATGACGTTGGTTGAAGCACGATAGCTTAAACAGATGAGCATTTAAACAGGATGTTTTACCCTGCATTGGATAACTAGGACGGATAGAATTAAAGATAAGTAGAGCAAATCTTTTTCGGTTAGATGAGAAAGATTAGTGGTTGATAACTTTAGAAATTCGTAGCGCTGCGGCTTTTACTGCGTTTGGTGGTGACAAGATGCTGTTATTTAGTTTGTTTGTAGTCTAT